GGCCGGGCGCGCGCGGCGGCGATTGGCGGGTTCGAGGAGCGGCTGCGCGTGGGCGGGCGGGGCTCCCGCCCCTCACAGCCCCGCTCGGCCCCGTGAGCCCGGCTCGCGCGGCGTCGGCCCCTCGGAGCCCAGCTGGCCTCTCGCAGCCCCTCCGGCCCGGCACACAGGTGAGCGCCGGGTGCCAGAACGGGGGCTCGGAACGCGGCCCCGGCAGTGCTGCGGCCCCGAGCGGAGCGGTGTGCTGGCGAATGAAGCGGCGGTGCGGCCCGTGCCGTGTGCCGGCGGCCGCCGGGCGCCGTTGGCCAACAAAGGCGGGAGGTGGCGGTGCCCGGCGCGGGTGGGTTGTGTGGCACGGTCGCCCCGGAGGCTCTGAAGGGAGCCGGTAGCAGCAGGGCTGTGCAGCGGCGGCTTTGGGCACTTGTTGTGCTAACGAGACGGGTAAATGAAATGAAAGCATAAGGGCAGGAGTGAAACAGGCGGTGATAGAACTGGAACCAAAGAATGTGCAGGCATAACGCGGGGAGTGAGGTGTACGGGGAGCAAGCTCTAAACTCTTTTTCGAGAGTTTGAGTTAGGCATTGTGTTTTGGCATATCTAAACTCGGATTATACCAAACCTAGTCTCATTTATCTACTAGACTGTAGCTTTTGCTGGTGTAGTTCCTGCCTTTCTGTTGCTTTTTCACTTTTTCCTATGGAGGAGCATAGTAAATCAGAAACTGCTCTCTATCCCTTTATTGACCGGATTGCCAAGACACAAATTCTACCCCACCCTGAAGCTGTGGCCTTTCTTCTGCTTTAGCAGCTTTTTCAGCCTAATGTGCTGTTCCTGTTAGGTTCTTGCCAGTGACTGCAGGGCTCATGTATCCTGGGTTGCCATGGAGAGCTGTGCAACCATCTCAGAATTTGGAAAAACGTGCTGAGTCTTGCATCTCAAAAAGATCAGTTAAGATATTCTAGTCCCTGCTTAAACTTTGTCTGGAAACTTTATGCCTCTCTTTTAAGTGATAGTTCTACTAGACCTGAAAATGCTAGCAAAAAGCGCTCCTCATAATACAGTCCTTCTAAATTCGTTGCTTATATATATTTGTAGCGTGTTAAAACTTATTTGTAGGCGTGTCCAAGTGTTCCTTCTTACTAGTTTAATTAATGGTTAGCAAGTCTTCTGGACTGTGCATCCCTCTTCAGTAGGAAGGACTTTGTACTTCCAGTTACTTCCGTATAAATCTGGGACAAAACTTACCTGAAATATAAGACAGCTTTACTGGACTAGAAGAAACCTGTGTGAATCTTACCAGTTGCTTTATTTAGCATGCTGTTGTTTGAATGCTCTTGTAACTCTTTCAAGCATCTTAAAACTACTCAGGATTGTGCATTGCTGCTCCTCTTGCTGCAGAATTACTTCACAAAGTGATGGTTGAA